ATCCCCATACAAATCAGCGTCGGTTAAACAGGCGTGGGAGGAAAAAAACTAAATTTTCATGGACACCACAATGATTTCCCTCATGTGTTAATATTTTTCCTTGTTATAATGTATGATTTGCAAAAATAAAAACTGCTGCATCTGTGTTGATGAGAGAATCAAGGTGTATGCGCGTTGTGCACCCGCTACATTATGGCCAAGCGTGCGCGCTTAAAATAGCATAATGAACAACGCGCAACGCGCCACTGACTTTAGACTAGTTTTTTTCTGGTCAGTGGCGCAATTGTTTTATAGAACAGCAAAATAGCATGAGGGAAAGTTTGCGCCGGAACACGCCTCCTCTTTGCGCTGAACCGCCCCGGGGAGCGCAAGTGTATTTCTTAGTTAACCGACGTGTGTCTGTGGAGGGAAAAGTCCGCTTTGCGCTGGTGCAAAATAGGAATGATACATGCGTCAGTGTACAAAGTCATTTGCGCCGAGTGCAAGATAGAGCCCCAGATGTTGAATTAAAGGTCAGGCAATATCTGGATAAGTCAAAAGTGTTCAACTTCAGCAGGAGCAAGTGAAGGTCAGGAGCTATACGTTGTTGTATATTCATTGCTGTGGTCATTATGGTTATGATTCATAAATGATTCGTATTATAAGAGCCCTTTAATTGTTACTGTTTGTTCTGAAGTGCAATGTCAGGTTGTCAGTGTCAGGTGAAATACAAACTAGATTTTTACATTTTCTGAAAAAAAAAAAAAAATGAATTCAGAAGTAACCTCAATTATGCAAGGTTGATGCAACAACAGATGCCGGTTTATAATGATTCATGTAATTCAACCCCCTTTTAAGACATGCATTTGAAGTTAAATATGGCCAGTGCTACATCAAGACTGAAATAACTGATGTAAAGCTCAATACCACTGCAGCAGAGCAAGAGCCTGCTTGTGCTGAGGCGAGAGAAACTGTTTTGCTGTTTTGTTTTTTTTGAGAACAAGTTCTTTAGCTTGATTGACTATAAACAGACATCAGCATGAACTTCCAGCCAAGCCTGTTCTTTGGTTTCCAATTCTGCACTCTGTGTGGTGTGAGGGTTTTAGGAGAGACACGATATCTGCACTCATGTTCCCTTCAACTTCAACTTGTTCCTGTTAGACCAAAAAGTCCAGTGGTTCACCCCCATCTCCATCCCCCCAAATAACCCCAACAACTGTTTGTTTCCTATTGAGGAATCAGGGTTCCCACATTCTCATTCTCATATATCCAGGCAAATCTATGAGGTAGCCTAACATGTGTGATTTGTAGACCTGGAATTAACAAAATCTTAAAACACAGTGGCCATTTTTTCAATAAATATATATATATATATATATATATATATAATTTTTTTTTTAATTGAAAAAATACATATATATATAAATATATATATAAAAAAAATATATATATATATATATTTTTTTATTTTTTATTTTTTTCATGCCAAACTCTAAAATATTTTATCGGGTAGAAATTGTGAGTAAAAATGTTTTAAAATCCTGAAGAACATAGAGCTCATTGAGACTCCAAAACGTCTAGAATCATGAAATTTTATTATTTTAATTGCAAGCATAATTGTTAGTTTTACTGTAGTTACTTTAAAAAAAATTTTTTACAAAAACTTGGAGTGTCCATAGATTAAAAAAAGATTTGAAAACAAAACTAGGGCTAGGGGGCTTTTGGATTTTATTGTGGGGCCTTGGAGTCAAAAAGGTATTTTTTGATGAATTAAAAACATAGGCAAAAAAAAAAAAATTATAATAAAAATGTTTTTTAATAAAAATATTATCTGAGCAATTCGGGTTTGATTTAGCACTTTCGAGCAAACTGTCTTCGCTGATTTAGCAGTCTTTTGACTTGACTTAATTTGAGGCCTTTTTCAGAAAATAATTTATATATGTAATTAATTTGAATAATTAATCAATATATCATGTATTTAATTTGATTGCATTTTTAATCAGGTGACAGTCCTAATTCCGTATTATTAAACAGTGTTTTTGACCTATGAACTTGCACATTCACACTATCTGCTGCACAATGTAGTATCTGTACACTTCCTCCACTTGTTTACAACCCAATCCCTCATACTAACTAAGCAGGATCTTGTTTTACAGCCTATGGTATGGTACATACTGTGCCAAAAACACAATGGATTAATGCAGAAAAACAGGCCCCACTTCACAGAAGAGTCTTAGTGTCACTCTTCCCTCTTACAATAGTAAGGTCAGCAGTTTACTCAACACATGACCCCACATGCCTTGTGTCACAGGCCCCCTCTCCGATTGGTGGAGATGGCCCATCCCAGATGACTCCCCCTTCCTCCACGTGAAAGCATTCATGAGTTTTCGAGGAAAAGTTTTTTTTTTACAATCAGTCACGTGCTAAGCTTATAGACCAAAATGTAAAGAGTGTACAATGTGGACAGGTTTTAGAGTAAATTGAATGAATATTGTATCTTTTCATGAACAAAGTGTTATTACAGTATAACTGGCAAAATACAGCAAAACAAATCAAAATATAGTATGAAATATTTCATATAAATATATCAGTGTTTATTAGTATCTTGACCGCCATGTCAACAACTTCCTTTAGTATTTTTCTGCACTCAGTAATCGCACAGTGCATTAGAAGTCTCCTTGGACTACTCAGACCCCAGACCCTCTAAATCACATTCTCTTATTCTTGGAAACAGTGTTTCTGGAATGAACTCAATGTGCTGGTTATCCAATGGAGAGATCAACGAATCATGATGAAATAGAGAGTGTGCTGAGAGAAGGCTGTGTAATCAGAGAGGTGGGCAGTCCTTTCTTAGGCAAACTTCTTTTAGGTTGTTCGCCTAAACAGTGCTTCACAGAAACGTGCACACATAGACACATACCTGTCTTCTTTACTCTCTCTTTTCAAAGAAAGGCAGCTGTTTGTGAACTTAAATACGCACACACATTATCCATTGAACCACTCAAACAAGCACTCTGAAATCCCTCTTAAAGGACACCAGGGTTACCACAGGACACTAAACTACAATAACTGCTATGTCAAGAAGAATGTATGCTTTCAGTGCTTTCATGTGCAAATGGCATCTAAAGCAACATCCAGATTATTTCTTGACATAATGTAGATATAATCAAAGATGCATGTCTATGCATGCATTGCAATACTAAAGCTATAATACACTGTCTGGTTTCTACCATGGTTTACCCATGGGATGTCTGACGAAGGCTTTGAAGCTGGCAGAAACATCACTGTTTTTAAAGAAATAAAGTCAAGTTTGTAGAGCAAGTGTTGCACTTTTCCGTTACTAAAGTGAATACTGTTCCGTCATTAATGAATAACAAAGGAAAAAATGAGCACAGCACTATTAACATTCTAGTATTAACTAACAATGACCTCTGATTAACAAATTAGTAAGTAATAGCACTCAGTTGAATGAGGTAGTTCACTAGCTAATCATCAGTAACTACTATTGTCTTCATGCCTCCCAGAGGACTACTAAGAACTACCATGGTTCATATTTAAATGTCAATAATGCACAATGTATAATTCATTCTAAAATGAAGATAATGGTTACCCACTAATAATGACACATACTTGTGAACTACCACATTTAACTAAGCATTATTACTTGCTAATTGGTGTAACCCCGGCATCCTGGCCAAATTTGCCCGGTGGCCTCTGTCCATCATGGTCTCCTAATCATCCCTATACTCATTGGCTTCATAACTCTGTCTCCTCTCCACCAGTAAGCTGGTGTGTGGTGGGCGTTCTGGCGCAATATGGCTGCCGTCACATCATCCAGGTGGATGGTTGAGGAGATTCCCCCCCTTACGTAAAGTGATTTGAGTGCAGAGAAAAGCGCTATAGGCTATATAAATGTAATGATTTTTTTCATCAGTTTCTTGTTAATAGTAGTAAGAGTAATGTATTACTCTAGTACTCTTAGAGTAATAATGCATTACTCATTTGTTCCTGTTTAGTTATTCATTTGTAACAGTATTCTAAAGTGTTCCCCACTTTTCTTCTAAGATTTTAAACTACCATGGTTTTAGATAAAGTATCATGGTAATACCATGGTGTTTTAGACATTTATCATGATAGTGCCATTATACTCTTTGCAGTAGGCTACCTTAGGGTACCATCAAGCAATGTAAGTACAATGGTATGGCCTGCTATGGTCATCATTCAGTGTCAAAATACATAATTACCATCTAATACACTCGCTGTACCATGGTGTACTTTTCAAATCAAATAGACAACGCTGATATTTCTAAATCAATATAAAATTAAATCACCATAATGACTAAAAAAGTGAAGTTTTCTTAATCCTTCTGCGATTACTGTAGGCTATACATCCGGTATACAGCATGCGTCTTTGAGACATAAATGCCTGTAATTAAAAACCTTTTATTTTGACAGCATGTAAGGTGGTGGAATAATATCAGTAAACTACCACTCACCCATCCACATGTATTTTCTGTGATAACACACAGACACACACACACACACACACACACACACACACACACACACACACACACACACAGTGGCAGCGCTACTGTAAACTTTTGATTGCCAGTTCAGCTGCTGCTGCCACGTGAGCAGAATTGTGTGCGTGTTAAATCCATTAAACGCGTGCATTAAATGCAGTGCATTGTCAGCATTACTTCACCACTGTAATGGCAGATTCAGCAAACAATTATAATTAAATATAAACTAGGCAAACAAATGTAAAATATTACAGTGGACGACAGAAAGTAGACAAAATATTGCCTTTGACGCTTAAGCGTTCTAGTCGCGTTGCGTCGCATAAACAAAGTGTTTGATTGGTTCACTCTTCACTGGGTGACGACGACGTCATGACTCAATCCACAAGCGTGAAAGACATAATATTGGATACAGTGGTAGACCGCTTCATTAACTGTAGATGGGAGCTTATTGCTGTTTGTCGCGTCGTGTATTTAGCAATGTAGATGGGCGCAAAGGGTTAACTGTGATGTCAGTTGCAGAGGCAGGGACTGCTACTCACTGAAAGCAGTTTCCACCCTGCTTTAAATACAACGCCAACACAGACAGTCAGAGAACAGTGTGTCAAACGGCAGAGACAAAATACATGAGCGAGCAGCGAACATCAACCGGATTCAGCAGCGTACGAAGATCCACTAAGTGCATTTGAATGGCTGTCACATCCTAACGCGTCTGCCGCATCCCACGTATGTATTACAGAAAATTTCATCCTTGCCTGGCTTCTCATTTCCATCCTGTTTATAATCATCATCTAACATAAATACATCCATTCGTTTGGGTTAATATATTTATATACTCAGTGAAAGGGCTTCTCTTTTTATAGCACAATGGATGATTGTTTACATTCTTTGGATATCTGACTATAATGATCCCTGACATTCGCTTTCCATAGCAATCATGCAGTTATCTAGACGATTATACACATTCTATATGATTTAACTTCGATTAACAACAAAAATATAACATTTGTATGTACACTACTTACCTAATGTTATTTCTCTATTATTCATGATGTAGTAATGATTGCAATATATATGGGGAGAGAGAGAGTTGAAATGAGTCTTTAAGTGTTTGTGGGTATGGGCAATTATGCAATAGCTCTAGTGTTAAATTAAGCATCATAGATGCTGCACTGTAAATTTGGATGTTTGTGCTATTATTGGCATCAGTATCTAACAGCAGAACCATCGGAGCTATGTCAGTCCCATGTGACTGTGGTGTCTGTGTATATGTAAAGGATCAGTTTGTTGTTTATGAACAATGAAGACTTACTTGAAGGGGTTTGCACAATCCCAGGGTTACATCTAGGGGGCAAATAATTTGGGTTAATATGGTTGTCAGGTTTTTCTAAGAGCCAGAGTTCCTACAGTCAAGGAAAGCCTAGAAAGATTAGGGAATTTAAAAAGTGTGGTTTCCAGGCCTTGATAAGTCTGTAATGAAAATACATTCTAGATTTGCATTTCCCTCAAATATTTAAATATTTCACTGGCTTGAAATATTTGATCACAGGCAGCTTCGGTTTGTCTTTTGAAGGTCATTTTGTTCAGTCCTAAATATGTTAATTCAGAAAATTGTCACCTGTTATACAAATGAAAATTCGTCCAGAAATCTGTGCAAAATGATTTCTAAATAAATCCTTTTGTCAGTAATGAATGAACAGCTGGAAAGGTCATGAGCAAGTCATACAAATAATTGGTCAATAAGTGTGAGAACCCTGAAGAGCTTGCATACAAAATGATTTATCTTCCCGTTCCCATTAATGCAGTGGAAACTTGTTGTGTCTTGTCTGATCTACACAAGCCCTAAATTGCATATTGTAATAGTGCACACACTGGTTTTTTTTTTTATTGCAGAAACTTGCAGTTAGCTAATTACTTTAAACATTATGTGTTGTGGTCTAGAGAGAGGCAGTAGTTTTCTGGGTTGGCAGAGCATGTCAGAACTAGGCATTATTAAACCCTTGGCAATGCATAAGGAACACCAGTTGTAATCCTTTTTTGAGCAATGTCATGTGTCTACCACTTGCAGTCTTTAGTTGGGGTTCAATGATATTTTACCTTTCACCTACATTTCCAAAGAGATCTTGGCTTGAGTTAAGCAAGACAGCAAGTTTTTGCTCTACAGGCTTTTATTTTCCAGTAACCCTGCAGCTGCAAACATTTGCACAATCGTAGAAGACTATTTATTGGAGAGATGTTGAATATGTTATCATACTCTCTTAACACAGAGATGGCTCATCAACATAACAGTTGCCTTTACAGAGTTGACTGTGCACTTTCACACAAAAAGCCATTAATTTTAGTGCTGAAGTGCACAGATAAATACAGTATATTGCTTGACTTAATGATAAAAGGATCAAGTAGGCTACTTGTTTGTTACATGTAAAAGAGTAACATACTTATTTTCTCAGGGAGTACCACAAGCTGAAACCAACTAAATAAATGCATTTTAATAGATTATAAATAAATAGAAAATCTAAATAAATAGATTTTAAGATGGTGCTGATTTGAGTGGTTTCAGTTATACCATTTGCACTGTGTCCACTTTAGTCACCTTATGTTTCTCTCTAAAAGCTTGAAATCTCTCTGTTTCAGAGTCAGACCATGAACTACGTGGGTCAGCTGGCCGGTCAGGTTTTCGTGCAGGTGAAGGAGCTGTACAGAGGCCTGAACCCTGCCACCCTCTCCGGCTGTATTGATGTCATTGTGGTGCGTCAGCCTGACGGCACTCTGCAGTGCTCGCCTTTTCACGTCCGTTTCGGCAAGATGGGAGTGCTACGCTCACGGGAGAAAGTGGTAAGCACTAGCAGCGGACGAGATATTCATATTTTTGCAGCTTACAAATTCTCTGATTCATCTTGTGTGTGTGTGTTAAAGGGATATTTCAGCCAAAAAAATAATATTATTTTGTTATGCACTCACCCTCATGTTCATCCCTCAAAACTTTATGGAGTTTTTTTTACGTTTTAAGTCTTAAAGCTCCAAAAAGAACCAACAAACGCCAAGTGCTTTTAAAAAGTCTTGGAATAGTGTCTTAATATTGTTTTTATTGCGCGTGTTTGTCCCAGTGAGATTTGTCACTTCACTCAAGCACATTCAAGCTTCTGCAAGAACCAGTGAGGTTTGTTCTTGCACATCAAGCAAGCATGTTTGAGCTTCTGTTTACCATATTTGATGGGCTTTATGTATGTGTGGTGATACATTTTTATATGTGAAGAATATAAGCCTAAATTAAATCCATTCATCATATAAAGTGACCCAGTCTCTTCAGAAGACTTGAATTAAACTGTTTAATTCATTACTTTTACAATGTCTTTTTGCACTTTGTAATGTCTAAATGATTTGGTTGTGTGGACATTAAATGGATGGACAAAAGTACTGAGAGAATATAAAAAATATCTTAATTTGTGTTCAGAAGACATAAGGGCGAGTAAATGACATGAGAATTTTAATTTCTGGGTGTACTATCCATTTAAGACAGGGTAATCCTGTCCAATGTCCAGAACCAGAACGTCTGGTGTCACATATCAAGAAATATATCAAAGCCATGGACATAAGGGGACTTAAGGGAACAGCAGTTGTTTGAAGATGAGATAAAATTAGCATTGTCATTGGCTTTGTGTTGCACATGGCTTAGTGTTGTAAATTGTCTTTATTATAGTGACAGCATTCCCTGTTCCCTTTCTCCTCAGGTTGACATTGAGATAAATGGGGAGCCGGTCAGTTTACACATGAAACTGGGTGAAAATGGAGAGGCATTCTTTGTCACAGAAACAGAAAGTGGTGAGGTGAGTACTGTACCAAACAATAAATCCTGTATAGCGTTGTTTTTATAGTGGCCAAGGGTCATTGTGCACTAAGAAATGTAACACGATGTATGCAAGTCTCTTCCCGAGTACCATAGCTTGAAATCTGAACTTGTTTACTGGAAACAATCCCGCCGCACGCATTCTGTTCCTGAGCTTGGACACTTTGCTCTAGAACAGACCCTCTCTGCCAAGGCCAACCTTTTCCTGTCTAAATCAGGACCCATCTTTCTGCTTCCCAAGCTTAAAAGAAAAAGCCAGCCAATTTAAAGGGCAAAGTAACGCACAGGAGAAAAGCCCTGAAACACTGTCCGACCGCTGAGATAAGAAAAGCTCTGCGCGCGTAATGTTGGTTATCCTCCTGGCTTAGTCTTCCGCTTCCTCATTACTAGAATCACTGTCCATTTGCATGAACCTTCTTTCTATATGCTTGTGCTTCATTTGACTAGCCAGTAGCAAACAGAGAGCTATAACTGGATTGCATGCACAGGAATATGAAATTGCTACACTCCTGACTAAAGTAATTCATGTAAATATGATATTCTGTTTTAAATACAAGTGTTACATTTGTAGAGAAGGAGATTTAATACATTGGATGCTTTAGTGTAGTATTTTAACAGATGATATTCTAGAAATGTAATGGCACTTAATTTTGACAAGAGTTTTATATTCAAAATAGTAAGTGAACTGACTTCAGCTAAACAATGGCACTATTTTCTGCTTAAAGCCGAAATGATCTCTGTTAGCATCATTGAATCATTTTCGTGTTATCACTGTAAAGCTGCTTTGAAACAATATAAAGCACTATATACATAGAGGTGACTTGACTTGTTCTAGAGATAGCCTACCACAATGTACTACTACAATGTTTAATACCCTTTATTTAATTTATTTGCAATGAACATTAAATAAACATCAAAATAAAATCAAAATGTATCAAATTCAAAAATGAAATATTTTGTTAAAAATTAAAACATTTGATGTGTTTAACACTAGATACTTTTCATGATTTATTACTTTTATTTATTTATGTATGTATGTGTGTATATATATATATATTATTCTATATATAATAGTTTCACCCCTGATTCTAAAAATGGGCAATAAATTCTAAATTGCCCTATATTCACGGAATGTGCCAGTTACATAATTGCTTATTCTTTCTCAAGGTTAGAGTCTGTTTTATTTGTTTATTTATTTATTGGCCATTTATGCCTTTATTCGACAGTGAAAGTGGAGAAATAGTGTGTTTTAATCACGTATGATTTCCTTGTAATGATTTGTGGCACCACACGAACATAATGTGTGTCATATAGAATCAGTTTTAAGACAGTAGAGGCTTTTTCACTGAAGTGCAGTGTACTTGGGATGGTCGTGTTGCCAGTACAAGAAATTAAAGCTTCTGGAGGGCTTTTTTTTTGGAATACCAAACACAAAAGGTCAGATGACTTGTATTACTCAAATATGTATTCCGAAAAGTCACACCTGTCTCTGTGTCAGCCAAAAGCTCTGTTAAGGGGAAGAAAAAAAAAAAGAGTCCATGCATGTTAGCCATTCAGAAGACTTGGATTTGACTCTGCCAACGACTGGCATTAGTTTGGGGTGCAATTAAATAACTAACTTTATAGCTCTACCTCATCTAATGAAAAGTAATGTTAAAGGGACAGTGGTTTTCTGTATTAATTGTTGTGATGGTCCTGCTGTTGACTACAGTCATAGTCATAGGATAATGGTCTGTCTGCTTGAATGGGAGTGTAGGCTGACTGGTTCTGGTCACTGAGTGAGTGAACAACATTTATGTGCTTCTGTTGCTCTTGCACTTATGTCTTGTGAAGCCATGACTTACAGACGGTTCAGAACTGTTGCACGTGCATGAGTTTATCTGTAATGAAACATGCAGTGATCTGTTACTTGGCATTAAGGTCACATTGTTGTGCTTCTGGGATTTAAGCAGACACGGTCAAACCAAATCTTAAGGCTGCAGTCTACATTTGTGTTCATATGTTCTACAACACACCCTATCAAGGTCCAATATTAACTTTTTGCAACACCTGCCAGTGGCGGGATGAGTTAAGACATTTTTCAGGCCATAAATATGTCTAAATATTGGTAATGGAACTGTATATTTAGCATTATTTAAAACCAATAATATATTTTTTTAATATATTTTCTAAAATAAGTCAAGATGTTGTCCTCCAAAAGGAAAAAAAAAAGGAAAAAACTCCCTAAAGCATGTCTACATTTCATACTATTTATTACTCTGTCTACAGGAGATGGTGCCGTCCCACTTGGCTACATCACCCATAATTTCAGAAGGCTCTGCCCTAATGCAGGCCCAAATGGGAAAAGTCTTGTCCCGTCTTTCTGAGTCTGGAAACGGAACCTTCATTCAAACCCTGGGCCCCATGCAGGCCCCTGTTGACAGTTCAATAATGAAGAAGAGGAGGAAGAGGAGGAGAAAATCTAAAGTAGACAGCAAGAAGCGAGAGGACAACGAAGACTTTTCAGAAGATGAGGACATGTTTACCATCGACATGAGTTCTGATGATGACGCAGAGGCTTCAGGCAGCAGGTCAGAACAAACAGTATGAATATTATTACGTATTATCATTACGCACATAATGTTTCATGTCGTTCTAAGTCTGTATAAATTTCTTTCTTCCATGGAACACAAAAGCAGAAATTTTGAATATCCATGCCGTTCTTTTCCATACCAGAGGCTGTCAAGCACAATTTTTTTTTAAAGAAGCAGACCATATGACTTACTTGTATATTCAAATTGCAACCATATTGCAATTGTTTTAGAGACATGTAAAAGTCAATGACATTTGGTATCACTGATGTCACACCTGTTGACTGTTATGGCACTTTTCAGTATGCTATTTTGAATATATGTGAACTTGTGAAGTGAGTGATGTATGTGAATGAGTCCACTTAAAACTCAACGAGTTCACTCAAAACTCATTCACTGATGTTTATGAGTTTTGATAGCTGCGATAGCATTGTGGTGTTTTTGGAGCTTAAAAGCCTCTGGTCACCATTCACTTTCATTATATGTGGGTAAATGGGGATAGTGCCCTTGCCAAGATCTCACATTGAATCTAAATCCCACTTTTCTTGGAGTTCTGCTTGGCAGGAGCTGTGGAGCTTAATATATTTTCCTGTATAGAGCATAGAGGACAGGACACACACATTAAAGACAAAACAGATGGTTCTGTAATGAGAGATCCTCCTTCTCTTAACCCATCTGAAATCACTGCAAATCATGTGATTACAGTGGCATAATCTGTTTTCTGCAAGTATGCTGGAATGATTCCAGTTGCAGTGGTCTTGGGATGTGGGCTGTGTCTGTTTGTTCAGTCTTCGAATAGGCTCTGCAATGGAGAGAGAGAGGCAAAGTGGAGAAAAATAGGTCGCCAGTCCTATTGCTGAAGTAAACAAGCGGCTCAAACAGCCCCTCCAATGTTTTTCCACGAAATCCAGGAAACCCTGCCAGTTCTGGCTCCAGCTTGAGGGGAGTCCTTTGTAATGCTGGGCCATCTAGCATGTACCCACACATATCCAAGAAAAGAAATTATTTGCAATATAAATCATTTTAACAATATAAACATCCTTTTCCCTTCTTTCATTCCCAGTGGATGACAAATTATGTATTTTATCTCTGCGATCTGAATAAGCAAGTTCCACTACACTACATGCCTTGCATTACCAAGAATCTGTTTCCCAGGTACCAGAAATAAATTTGACTGTAAAGGCCACTGGGAAAACGCTGTTCACAAGGCCAAAAGAGTCAGCTGGGAATGTATTGCTCAGTAAAGCAGCAGTTTGAATCCAGACACTAGCTCTTTAGAAACCCCACAGTGCTCTCTGTCTTCCTGGAAGAATGAGCCTGTTTAAGGCAATCACTTCAGATTATCCCTTGGTATGTCTATGTGCATGGAATATCTAAATGTATACGATGTCTTACTCTTTCCTTTTGCGGGTATATATACTTACTGAATATGTTTGCCTATACTGTATGTGTTTTCAGAGCCATGTCACATGAGCTGTTTGCTGAGCAGGTGAAAGGAACCAGCAGCACATACACACAGTCTGAAGGAAAGTGGACTGGTGTTCAAAGGTATGCTTACCAGTGTTTTTCAAAAAGGAGCCAAGTTCTGGTCACATCGCAATTATGACAAAGTCAAAATTGCACGATATAAAGTTACAAAGTTTGTAGTAAATGTATTTAATATATTGCAAAAGAGAAAAACAATTACCACAACTAGTATACAACATCAAAAGACCCTTTCAACTGGAGTCCCCTGTCTGTCAGTCTGTAATCCATTCTTGATCTCTTTGGGAAAAATGAATTAACACGCATTTCAAAATATTATCCTTATATTGTAATCATTATGATCACAAGCTGTAATCATTGCCTAACATGTCCACTGTGTCTGCTTACTGAATACATATATTCTCTTATAGCTGTATATTACTGCCAAATGGGCATTACTTTGACACACTCTCTGACTGATAACAGAATACTTCCTGATTGTAACATTAAAATAAATCCAGACTTGTATTTTTGCAATCAATTTAATAAAATAATCTATAAGAACACTGGAGTCCCAGCATTTCAGCGAAAAGACAATAAGAGATGGCCGACAAATAAAATAAAAAAACCCTGTGAAATCCAAAAACGTGTTTGTCTGCAGAATATTTTATTACACAGAAAATTCAGTCCAATGGAATTGTTTCTCACCACATTAAAGCAAACCTCAGCATATGCTGTATTGCTGAGTGCATCTGAGACTGAACTGAAGGCTCTATTAATATGTACGTCGATAATCATCAGCAAACTGTTCCCCAGCTGCAGTACAGTGATTAAACTGATAGTATATCATAATGCACAAACTTGCTAATGCATTTAGCTGTATTCATTCTACAACAGACTTATATAGTATTGTGCTTACATATAATTTTTTTCTATGTATGAGATTCAAAATAATGGACATTTTAATCTAAAGCTTTGTTTTCTGACCCACAGTACAGGGTTGGAGAAGACATGCTCTTTACCCATTCCCACCAATGCAGGATTATCCATTTCTTGCCCTCAACAAATAGCCATGTTCCAGTCCACACACAGGTAACCAATACATTCACCATGTAATGTAAATAAACTTGCAACAAAGCCATAAGGTTTAAGGAAATAAGGAAAATGTCTAACATTTCTGTAGCGTATTGCCCAATTTTAAGATTTTTGCTTTGTTTGTCAAGCATGAAATTCAATTTTGTAGAGGAATGAAAAGGCATTCGTACTAGTTTATTTCACAACAGCTGTATTAATACAAACTTACAATTAATCCAAATATTGCTAAATGTCTCCATCTCTCATTTCTCCCTACAGCAGTCCAAATAGCTCCCTGCCATCTACACCCAAGAGTGATTCAGAGTTGCTGGACAGTCAGAGGGGTAAAGGGAAACTGGACAACCCTGAGATGCTGTGGACATGGGGAGAGCTACCTCATGCTGCCAAGGTACAGTATTAATCAGCCATGTCACATGACCACAACAAATTAACAAATCCGAATCAGTTAACTGTACATCTTTCTTTTCACACAGCCTTCATTCCTGCAGCCCCTGTCAGAGCCCATGGTGGTGAACCCAAGATCGATCCCACCGTCTGAAAGCACGCACTTCAGAGCCATCACTGGGGATGGAACGGTGGAGTCTCAGAGCAATGATGTGTATGTGCCTGATCTCAGGGCTGGAGAGGCAACATCTGTCCCTGCTGTAGATGTGGAGGCCATCAGTGCGGCCGCCCATCTTATCACAGACCTAGAGGAGGGGTGTCACAGTCCTGGGGCTCATGCCATTAGCAAGATGGACTCTCCATCCAAGAGAAAAGGTATGTGTGCGTATATGTGTGTGTGTGTATATATACATATATACTTTTATTAATTTTAATTGATCTGTCATATGACATTATGAGTTCTGAAAATAAATGTCACAATGTTACAAAGAAAAACACTTTTTGGCTATTTAAAACATAATATAATGTCAGTCACAATACAACAATTCCTAGACAAAAGGAGCCGGCACTTGGGATCAGATGGAATATACCTGGATGACATCACAGAGTTGGAGCCTGAGGTGGCTGCCCTGTACTTTCCAAAGAGGTCATTTTTACACTGATTATGTTTAAACAAACAGTTATCAAATATCAAGAGTGTACATATAGCCTTTTAGCCATTCACTTGTTCATTTATGATCCAAGTGTAGTGTAAGTATCTTTTTAAATCTAATTTATTGTTGTTGTTCAGTGATGGAACAACTTCTGTGAGGGGCGGAGCAGATCTGAGAAGTGCAAATCAGTCCCCTCAGTCAGTGGGCAGCAGTGGAATGGACAGTGGGGTGGACAGCTTTTCTGACCAGTTAGGAGACTTGCCTCATATTGCCATCTCTCTTTGTGGAGGACTGTCAGAAAACAGAGAGATCACTAGAGGTAAAAGGAGGAGTTGTGATGAACAGTACAGTACCATTCAAAAGGTTGGGGTCAGTAAGGTTTTTTTTTTTTTTTTTTTTTACATTTTTGAAAGAAGTCACTTAAGCTCACCAAAGATTCATTTATTTGATCAAAAATGCAGTAAAAACATTAATTTAAATTGTTTTATATTTTAATATATTTTAAAATGTAATTTGATGTCAAATGTCTATGCTATCACCTTTGATCAATTTAATGCATCCTCCTTGCTGAATAAAAGTATTAATTACTGACCCCAAACTTTTCAAAAGTAGTGTAAAATAATGTATTTTCAGTTGCTGTTCTGTAATTCCGTAGACTTAATATCCTGTTTACTTCTAGATTTGATTAGCTGGGGAAGTAATTCAGCAATTAAAGTCACAATCTTTCATTCACAGAGGAATTTGAGGAGCGAGCAATATCTTATCAGGAGTTTGCAGATAATCCATCTATCATTGATGATCCCAACCTGGTTGTAAAGATTGGAACTAAGTATGTAATTTGTGACATAAAAAACATGTAGCATATAGCATGATGTAATTTACTAAAATATTGTCAAATTACAAAGTAAGTCAATTTAATACATCCTTGAATTATTTCACGTTTTGTTCTCCTCACAAAGGTATTATAACTGGACCACAGCCGCTCCTATCGTATTGGCCGTGCAGGTTTTTCAGAAACCCTTGCCAAAGGTAAGGACAGCATAAACAGCACAAATATGTACAGAAAGGCCTTAGTTATTCATCCAACACTGACAATGTGACCTCACAGTAGTTTAAATAAAGCTTATCATTTAAGCTCGTTAATATACTCATTGTTAATACCGAACTCATAAACATTTGTTTATTAGTGATATATATACACTGTATGTATACACTTAACTTTAGTTCTATATAACATACTTGGTATTATTCAATTCAGTTTTATTTATAAAGCATGTTTAAAATAAACCTTAGTTGGCCAAAGTGCTGTACATAAAGTTGAAAAAAATAAAATAAAAGCAAGAAACACATACAAATGACAAAGAATTAAAAGCAAAAGAAAAAATATGTGTTTTTAACATGGGTTTAAATTCGGCTGATGTAGAAGCAGTTCTGACAGGTAGTGGCAGGCTGTGGTACCAACAAAAGATGACTATTTTGGGATCTGAGTGATCTGGAAGATCGGAAAAACATTTAGGAGCTAAATTGTTGAGAGCTTTATTAAGAAATAACAGAATCTTGTAGTCAATCCGATATCAGACTGGCAGCCGATGCAAAAAAGACTCCATCACCAATACATAAAATGGCATCTGTTAACAAAGACAGTTACCATAATAGGGGAGCCATTAGGAATTTCTTAAAAAGCTCAATTTTGTTTTAATAAAAGATAATATAATAAATTGTATTATATACAATATAAATTATTTAAATTAAAAGACACATATAATATATTTAATTTATTTATATATAGTGTATAATTTATAATAATTCTGAATACAAAAAATAATTATATTGAAAATATTTAAAACTTGTTACACTGATTTAAAATGTACTTACTAGTTTAAAGAATTCTTAATTTATTGGATTCATGTAGGTTCATTACAACAAATGAAATGTGCACTTGGAAACATCTTTGCCCTGCATATACAAATAATAATAATTATAATAAATAATAATAAGACTACTGCAGCTTACTGGATGTCTAAATTTTTTATATTTATAATTTTTTGGACAGTTTTAGCACAGTTTTTAATGAAAGGTTTGCACTAACTCATTACTGACCCAATTATTGGATTGCTTAAACAAGTAAATGATGAAATACATCACAGTGGTAGAAAGATACTGTTTTGTTTCTGTATTGTTTGTCTCCTCTCAGCAAGTGTTTCATGGCTTTTTAAAGTCCTTGTGTATACTGCACCCCAGCTCTCATGGCACTCCAGGGCATTTAAATTTTGTCTCTTCCCTCCTCCTTGTTTTTCTTCTTCTTTTTAATTGATCTCCCCTCATACCATCCCATTGTGCACCATTGCACTAAGTATTCCTGTCTGAGTTACGTCTACTCTGCTCTTGGTTTCTTCACATACTGTTTTCCTAGCGTGTTCGGCTCTAGTCCTGTACGTCTTTGTGTTTATTTATTAGCTGCATGTGTTCAGTCACAGTCATCCTGTCATTTAGTTTTTGAGTTTTGAGTATCAGGGGCTCTGTGCGTTTACTCCAGGCCACAGTAGAGAACATCATGAAGGAGAAGATGCCCAAGAAAGGAGGACGCTGGTGGTTCTCATGGCGGGGCAGAAATGACAGCTCCAAATCGGTATGTTTGCAATATTGCATATGGGAAATAATTGTGAATTGAATTAAAGGTAAAGTGTTACCAGATTTATCCAAAGACATGTTGACTTCTCGCAGGTTTGCAAATATTATGTATGTAATAAAAGCATACAAATCTGTGAATCTTTCTACAACAGGAATCAGCATCAGACCAGATTGAAGGTGGAGAGGAGTCTATAAGAACAGGAACTGTGAGCAGGTACATTTAGAAAACCAGAACATTGTTCTCGCTAATCAATTAAAGGGTCATATGTTGCATATGCACTTTCACCTGAAGTACAGTTGTATAATGTTAAGACCTGTTCACACCAACTGAAATGTTCAGCATGAAAATTCTATTTAGTTTTCAAATGCGATATGTCTGTTCAGACCATAGGTTCAGACCAATGAAAAAAAAACTGCAGATGGGGTGCAGTGGATTTCTCTGCTCTTCAATATTATTCTTGGTATGAACAGGCCTTTAATCAATGTCTGGCATCGAAAAAGTTACGATTAGTTTAAAATTTTACACCAACTCTCAGGCCTTTAGAACTAAACAGACTGAAAGAGAATTAGTTTTGGGTACAGTACCTTTAAGATTTCTAGACACAGAAACTACGAAATCAGGTCTCAGAATATATATCATATCAATCAAAATTCAATCATAAATGCATTTTATAGTATAACTGTATAACTATAGTATATAGTTTTAACTGTGGTCTGGCTGGTGGTATTTTTTACTAGATTAAAGGATGAATCATCATCCAGTGAAGATGACAGTGGAAGTGCTAAACAGAATACTGTGAGCAATCAGCCTGAAGTTATCCACAGCTCTGGAGGCCATTGCTACAGGAAGACTCTTCGTTTGTCCCCAGAACAGCTCGTAAGCATCTCCATTTTCAATGAAGCCAGTAAAGTCAATCAGAGACTACAGTATGTTATGAAAACCATGCTACAAGCATGTTCTTCTTTTTTCAGGCCAGTCTGCACTTAAAAGATGGCCCCAATGATGTGGTCTTCAGCGTGACTACCCAGTACCAGGGCACCTGCCGCTGTGAGGGTACCATTTATCTGTGGAACTGGGATGACAAGATAGTGATTTCAGATATTGATGGCACCATCACAAGGTAAGACACCTCAAGTGAACTTCCTGGGGCAATATAATGGGCTCGACGGATGCGAAAAATAAAGCATGCCGTCTAAATTGCAAAGTCTCTTTCAGGTCTGATACCCTGGGACACATATTACCAACTCTGGGTAAAGACTGGACCCATCAAGGTATTGCCCGACTCTACCACAGAGTTAGCCAGTGAGTCGCACACCACATACAGAGCATCTATCAAATGTGAGCAAAAAGATTTTGTCTAATGTCTAATATATCTAAAACTCTTTGTCAAACAGGAACGGCTACAAATTTATGTACTGTTCAGCTCGGGCTATTGGCATGGCTGACATGACCCGGGGTTACCTGCACTGGGTTAATGAAAGAGGCACTATGCTACCCATGGGACCTGTGCTGCTTAGTCCTAGTAGTCTGTTCTCTGCATTTCACAGGTTGGTACACACACAAAACATATAGGCTTTAAAAAATAATGATAATGCCACGTAGTAACTGATGTCTTTTCTTTCAATCTCAGGGAGGTCATTGAGAAGAAGCCAGAAAAGTTTAAAATCGAATGTCTGACCGATATAAAAAATCTGTTCTATCCAAACACAGAACCCTTCTATGCTGCTTTTGGAAACAGGGCAACAGTAAGTACAAGTAGCAATGTTTGCTAACATTACCTTCATTTGCTATACAGTATGCAAATCCCTAAGGAGCGTTCTTCTCTCTAGGATGTTTATTCATATAAAGAGGTGGGAGTGCCTTTGAACAGAATATTCACTGTGAATCCTAAGGGAGAGCTCATCCAAGAACATGCAAAGACCAACATATCATCGTAAGTGATCTAATGAAAACATTTCTTTTCTCATTTTTAAAGACAAATTACCAATTTTGCATTCAAGCTAACCCTGTTTTGGGATGTTTTTATTTATTTATTTTGCATTGGGCCATTTTTATACAATTAAAGGGTTAGTTCACCTAAAAATGAAAATGATGCCATTATTTACTCGCCATAATGTCGTTCCAAACCCGTAAGACTTTTATTCATGTTCGAAACACAAATGAAGATATTTTAATGAAATCTGAGATATTTATGTCCCTCCATTGACAGTCCATGCAACTACCACTTCAAAAAGTTTATAAAGAGAACATAAAACTAATCCATCTGAATTGAGTGATTTAGTCCAAAAGAGACACGATGGCTTTCTATGATGAACAGATTTAATTTAGGATTTTATTCATATATAAACATTCATCAACGCACATATCAGCAGTTGTGGTAAACAGAAGTTCAAGCATGCTTGCTTGACGTGCAAGAACCAATGAGGTTCATTCTCGTCTGTTACACAGCAAGTTTGTCATTGCATGGTATACAACGAAATGTCATCCATACTACGCACATATTTCAACACACATAAAAACAATAAGTTAAAACAATAAAAATAGCTTAAAGTGTCTTGTGCATGTTATTGCAACAATATGGCATACACGTCCGTTCAAAATGATTGAAGCAGCTGTGGGAGGATAGAGGCAGGGGAGAGGGAATTCAGTTAAAAAATGGCTGTTGGGTAAAAGCTGTTTCGGAATCTGGAAGAGCAAGTCTTTTGCTCTCTGTAGAGTCTACCTGATGGCAGTTGTGCAAACAGATCATGAGAGTACTGTCCCTAATGATAGTAGAAGCTCTGCTGCAACAGCGAAGCCTGTAGATGTTCTCAAGCGGGGGCAGTGGAAGTCCGATGATCTTTTGTGAGGTTTTTATGACCCTCTGCAGTGCAGCTCTTTCAGCCGTTGAACAGTTTCCATACCAGACTGTAATGCATTATGTTAATAATATGCTTTCTACTGTGCAATGGTAGAAAGACTTCAGAAGTCTGGCAGAGAGATGGGCCTTCCTCAAAGTTCTGAGGAAGTAAAGTCTCTGTTTGGCTTTTTTAACCAGGGCAGCAGTGTTAACGGTCCACTTGAGGTCCTCACTGACATGGAGGCCCAGGAATTTAAAGCTCCAGCACTCTCTCTACCTCCTCACCCCGTATTTCCAGTGGCTGAAGCTCCTCCCGGTGTCGCCTGAAGTCTATTATTAGCTCCTTTGTCTTCTTGATGTTGAGAGACAAGTTGTTATTTGCACCACCCAACCAATCTACATACCTCATCTCTGTAGGCAGCCTCACTGCCATTTGAAATAAGCCCCACCACTGTTGTATCATCGGCACATTTTATTATGGTGTTAGTGGGGTGAACTGTTGTACAGTCATGTGTGTAGAGGGAGTAAAGGAGGGGGCTCAGCACACATCCTTGGGGTGCTCCAGTGCTAAGGGTCAGGGTTGAGGAAATGTGTGTGCCCAGTCTCACAGTCTGTGAGCGTTCTCTGAGAAAGTCCATGATCCACAAACACAGTTGGTTGCTGAGGCCCAGATCCAGCATCTTTGTGAATAGTCTGCTAGGGACGATGGTATTAAAAGCAGAACTATAATCTGCATATGTATCCTTCTGCTCCTGCTGTTTCAACGCAGTATAGAGAGCAGTATTTATTGCATCCTCTGCAGATCTACTTGACCTGTATGCATATTGATGGGGGTCTAAAGTGGGAGGCAGTGCAGATTTAATGTGTCCCAGAATGAGTCTTTCGAAGCACTTGGATATGATAGGTGTAAGTGCTATTGGTCTATAGTCATTTAGGGAAGTGATGTTGGACTGCTTTGGCACTGGGATGATGGTAGCAGTTTTCAGGCAGTCTGGTACGATAGTATGTGCAAGTGAGAGATTAAAAATGTCTGTGAAAACCTCTGCAAGCTGATGGGCACAATCCCCGAGGACCCTGCCTGGGATCCCATCCGGTCCAGCAGCCTTCTTGGCATTCACAGTTTTTAAAACTCGCGTGGCCTCATGTGTTTGGAGAGTAAGTGGGCTGTCAGCAGAGTCCAGCTGTGGTGAAGCTGCATTGTCCGGTCCTCTCTCAAATAGGGCAAAGAAGCAAGTTAATTCCTCAGCCAACATGGTGCTGCATGCTGTCAGTGGTTCTCTGCTGCCCCTGAAGTTGGTTATATGATGCACACCCTGCCACATGTGTGTCGTGTCCCTAAAATTAAAGTGCTCCTCTGTCTTCTCCTTGTATGCAGCTTTGGCTGATTTTATCCCTCTCCAGGTTGTGTCTGGAAGCACTGTACAGTTCTTTATTACCAGATCTAAAAGTTGCATCACGGTCTTTCAGAAGAAGTTGGACCTCCTTAGTCATCCATGGCTTCCTGTTTGGGTAGATACGGATGCGCTTGTTGATGGTTACACTTTCCACGCAGCATCTGATATAAAAAAGCACTGTAGATGTATATTCGTCTAGGTCCTTCCTCCGGCCAGGTTTTAACCGTTTGGATAACAGTTTGCTGTCTCTTAATGATGGGGCAGTATGCTGGAGTTAAGAAAAGTGACAGCTGATCAGACTGTCCAAGATTAGGAAGGGGTGAACCTCGGAAAGCTTTGGGGATGTTAGAATAGACACAGTCCAGTGTGTTCTCCCCTCTGGTGGAGCATTTAACATGTTGTTCAAACCTTGGAAACACAGTCTTCAATAACAGTCTTAAAATCACCAGCCACAATAAACACCCCATCAGGATAAGAGTTCTGTTGCTTGTTTATAGCTGTTAACATGTAGTCGAGTGCTGCATTAGCGTTAGCGTCTGGTGGAATATACACAGCTGTAACAACAACAACCTGGGACCTGCATTTAACTGCCAACAACTCCAGGTCTGGTGAACAATGTCTGTCAATAATAATGGCAATGTTTGTGTACCAGCTGTTGTTCGTATAGACACACAATCCAAAATACAGTTCCATTTCCGAGAGACCTCAGCCACCGCATCTGTGCGCGCCGCCATCTTGTTTCCCCCTCTTGTTACACAGCAAGTTTGAGCTCCCGGAGGAACCAATAAGGTTCATTCTTGTGTTACGCAGCACGTTTGAGCTTCTGCAAGAGGTTTGTTCTCGCGTGTCAAGCATGTACAGTTGAGCTTCTGTTTATATTCGCTGATTAACTATTATAAGTGAATAAAAGCCTAAATTCAATCTGTTCATCATTTAAAGAGATTGTGACCCTTCAGAAAATTTGGACTAAACCGCGTGATTAATATGGATTAGTTTTACGATCTCTTAATGAACTTTTTGAAGCGTGAAAGTAGACGCGTGGACTGCATGGAGGGACAAAAATCTCTGATTTAATTTAAAATCTTCATTTGTGTTTCGAAGATGAATGAAAGTCTTACGGGTTTGGACATGAGAGTGAGTCATTTTAGGATGGACTAACTAACCCTTTAAGCTAATTTTCTCTTCCAAATTTAAATCATTTAAATTCATTCGGACATCTAACTTAAGTGTTTTTGTAATTCCCATCATCGAAAATTAAAAGAAAGGGATGATTTTGATCTTTTTTTGTTTTTGCATTGACATTATTTGTATGATAATTAAGCTTGTTTTCCCTTCCAAATTCTCATTTAAATGCATGTCATTTGACTTCGGATTGTTTTTGTAAATTCCATCATTGAAAATTAAAAGAAAAAATTGCATTAAAAACTAATCCTGCTTTGGGATGATTTCAGTTTATGTTTTATCATTGTGACATTATTTTTATGATAATTAAACTCATATTCCTTTCCAAATTCTCATTGAAATGTATCTGGATGTTTTAGATTTGTGTGTTTTTGTAATTTCTGTTATTGATGATTCTCTTGTCAATCTAACAGTAGATAATCTGTGGAGTCTAATAGTTGGGAGTTTGACTGTCCTAATATTCTTGCATGTTTTACAGTTATGGGCGCCTATGTGAGGTCGTAGATCATGTCTTCCCTCTTCTGATCAGAGGGAACACCACCGACTTTCCCTGTTCAGACACCTTTAGCCAGTTCACCTTCTGGAGAGAGCAGTTACCAGAGGTAGAAAAGCAAGATAAACATTCTGAGAGCAGCTAAAAGGACATAAAGCGAACATCACCTACAAACTCAGCTCTAACGCTGCACTGCCATAGGTATTACTCTACGCACAAGCAACTTAGCACTTTGCAGACCGCATGCCGCGCTCTGCCTGTTCCTTTACTATTATTTTACTCTTTTAACAAACATTTAACATTTCTGTGTGTTTTAATGTTTTGTTTAACTGCCAATAGGCTAAATCTGGTAGCATATCACGCAGCTCATATTAGGGAATTTGTTTATTGATGATGGTACAGATATTTTAAAGTGCCAAATGCATTATTCATAACCAAGTTTTCCATTGGCTTTGTCCAAGGTTGTAAAGATGTATGAGGGAATACAATTATTTTAGTACATAGTATAAAATGCTTTTGAGCATGTCATAAAACATACTGAGAGAAATGTAAGTTTCCTAAAAATAAAAACAATAAATAAACTCAGATGTAGGTATAAAGCCAGCTAGTACTGTATATCTCAGGTGTTACAGAATTTTAATAAGGGATTCTTTTGAAACTTAAAGTGACCTTTCAAAAAAAAAAAATATCAACTATGTTGGTTTTTGCATTTTCTTTGACATCTAAATTAATTTATGACCTTAAAGCTGCAGTCCGGCGTTTTTCCTCTTTGTCGCCATCTCTGTTCGAAATCTGCAATTGCAGTCATTCGCAGAATTATCAACTTTACGTGAGTTGTACTTCAACACCCTCGACACGGCATGGCGCGGATGAACACAATGTTTGAGGAGAGTGTGCAGCTGTCAGTCACCGCGCCGATGTGGATACTGGCATTCAGAATCACAGATTATTCTTTTTGGAAGTATGACCAACATAAGAATTTTCACCGGAAAATGTCATCTGAACTAGTAAGAAACATCCACTTTTGTTCTGGTTCTGACATTGCAGTAAATCGCACTGATTAAATCTAACAATTGCTTATAAGTTATCATATCACGCAAAACCGTGCAAATTATACTTTGTTCTCAAATTGTTAATGTTAACAACGTAAGCAAGCATTGCGTGACTACATGTAATGTCCTTCCGATATGTATCCTTGTTTTCGCATGGGCCGGTTGCAGTCTCTTTTTTTCTGTAGCCACTCCGAAGTCCGAATGAAGTTATTTGCATTTTACAGCGGGTGAATCTGTTGTCACTGGTGATTGTCGTTTGAACCTTTCTGGATCCGCCATCAAATTGATAAGTTTAATTATATCAAGTGCTGTGAGAAAAGGCTATAAATCTCCACCTCCAACATCCTCACACCCAATATAGCCTACTAGCCGAGACTCCTTCTTTATGTGTGCAGATGTGACGTAATGACGCAAAGACATGCACGAATCTCCCGCGGAAATCCACCAGTACCACTGGAATTAAAAACATTATTACAAGCTTACCGTTTTGAATCGAGCTAAGGCAAGCAGATAGTTTTGAACACTGGCTGGTTATATATTTTCTCAAATATGTATTTTGGATAATTTTTAACCCCAAAAAAGCTACGGACTGCAGCTTTAAGAACAAAACAACAAATGCAAGTGGTTATTACTTAATTGTGTCATCTTGGATAATTTCTTACCACACACACTTTACGTTTTGCCAAATGTTAATTATTATATAATAAATTTGCATTCCTTATTATTTGTGTGTATTTTATTTAAAGTACATATCTCTGACCAGCAGAAATGAGTCATGCAAAAATGTATTTTGTCAAACGTCATACCCGTTTGCATGTTAAAGAAAAACAAAACTACACAAAAGCAAACATCAATGCAAAAAACTCTCAGGTCATTAAGTATTTAATATCTGTATTAATACCTCCCTATTAATATCATATTAATCATTTTCATAAAATATAATTACACACCTGAGAAAAAAAAAACATTTTAGTCAAGTGATTTTTTTTGCTTATTTCAACAATTAAGAAAACGAAATATCCAGATTCATGGTGCATCCTATTATCTTATTATGTTAATTTTATTTTATTTTTTGTAATCATCTTTATATTCTACCAACACCAACACCTCTACCCAATGGTATGTATTGTTTCTGTCTTATTAAAGGATGAAATGAATTGTGTGTTATGAAAGCACTGTATAATAGAATATATTATATGTCTCTAGTGAAAGAATAAGGGTGTTGTGTAATATGAAAAAGGACAACAAGCTCCCGCTAGTTGTTGCTCCAACTTTTATTTAACATAAGTGAATGGATAATCTGTGATTTACCAAGGTTATCAAGGAGCACATTAAATAAGCACTGATGTGATGCATAAATGATGAGGGGGCTTTAGGGACTGGTTTAAAAGAACTGTGTATTTTAACGTAAATCATGTGTTATTGTTCTGCAAAGAAAATAAGATTATATGATATAGATGTGTGCAACATGAAAATGCAATGCGATACAGACTTATTATAATGACAGATGACTGCTACAAACTTCAACACTGTGAATGATCAGGTCAAACATTGTAGATTGTTTCTGCTCTCTCTACCTGTCTTACAATATTTAAATTCAGTTCATTGAGATGTCTTATTCTAAACAAAAAATAGCTGAATAATATAAGACTATGGTTCCCATCCCATGTTTCCTGCTCATTTGAATGGTAACAGCATAACATTCATTTAATATTGTTTTGTTTTTTCTCGCTATGGAGTTTTATATTCTTTCTGTGAAAGATCTTGTTGCCTAAGTTGTGGCAGTTCAGTTTGTGTGTCATTATGTTCAGTGTTGAGATGTAAAACTACTGTTGTGTTTATATTTTAAGATGCCAAATCTCAATATGTAAATTAAAATCCCACTACATGAATAAAAAAAAGCTTCCTTGTTTGTCTTAAGCAGTACTAAAACCTACCTTTGTGTTCCTGTAGCTAACGGATTGAGTACAGTTTATAGTTTCTCGTCAGTACTACTACAATCACACTGAACAGCTTCTTCACCTCTTCAGATCTGATACGATGAGCTTCATTTTCCCTTTTCACTCAGATACCCGGCTAAAATACATGCAGAAACTATGATCAAAAACATTTAACCAAAGCAGAAAAGTTACTTTAGCTTTAGAATTTTAGCTTACCTAGTTTCTCAACTGCTTCCACACAGATACTTGGATACATGCTCTGTGAGTATGTAGCAACAATCACATACAGTGCAGTTCTCACCAATATCAGGCCATGTCCTTCCTAAACAAAGAAAATAAAGAAAAATCAGTGAATGAAAAAGTGATGATGTGGTTATATACAATTCATATGCATATATTTTTTTTTATCTCTGGATTTATTAAAGGTAGGGTAGGTAATTCCAGAGAAGCTAGCAATAGCAAGCTAGCTTTGAAAGCATCAGATTCCACCCTTTCTTCAGAGCGCTCCCAAAAGCCATGCCTCCTCTAAAAGACATGAGCGAGCAGAGCAGTCTGAGGATATGAACAGTTCCAGGCAGAACGTCACGGGTTGCCATCTCTTAATTTTGAAAACTGAGCTTCCCAAGTGGATAAATTTTGAAAACGCTGTTTTTGCATTGTAGCGTGGACTGTGAAAACGAAAACTGAGGCATTTGAAAACAATGACGGATGTTTAGTCATGTGACGCATGTTGAACCGATAGATATGTGTTTATACCGCTATTGTGCCTGTAATGTGGTATTCACTTTCACGCTGTTGCTAAAGATATGTTACTTTGTACCATCTTCATGTCACAAATTTACTCGCAATTGCTGTCCTGCGGCAAAACATGAGAGCAGTTGCGGGGTTTTTTAGACCAAACATACAATGTTGACTGAGTGCGACCTGGACGCATCAGTGAATGGTGAGATATTTTGCTAAATAAAATGATCCTGCCAGAAGAATAACATGAGATATTGATTGTCTTTTTCCGTCTGTATCATCTCAGTGAACTTTTATGCAGTAAGGTGAATTGAGCATTTTCTGACATCTTAGTGTGAATTAGAAACTTTTGGAAAACGCTTGGAAACGCCAATATGGATAGAGAGCGTTTTGAAATGAAAACACCATTTTCAAATATATCCGGTTTAATGTAGACGTAGCCTCAGGAGGAACTGTAAAAGGCGGCTGCTGTTTGTGGCACTCGGGCACGGTCTTGTCTACAATGACGTGATGTCTGCGTGGGCAGAGGTATGGAAATACATGTTGAAAGGACATAGTATTCAGACCGAATGCAATGATTGGGGAAAAAAAAAAATGGTCCTGAGACTTCCACAGAAGATATGTTTAGTGTTTAGTATAACAGTACACCAGTATAACAAAAAGTATTTATAATTTTTTTTTTGCCTACCCTACCTTCAAGATATATATATATATATAAAAATTATACATACCTCTTTTTAATTTCCAAATTAAAGTTACTTTTATGTTTTTTGAGGGTTGTAAAGTAAACAATTGGGAAACCGGAGTTGTTAATATAGCTGCTAACGTTACTGTCCGGAGACAGCAACAAACAAAAATGTGTTATTTTGAGCAGGTTTAATTAAACATGTAGAGTATATATAGTGTGTTACTTACACATTTTGTATATATTGAGTGTTTGTCAGCACGCACGCAGGTGTATAACTTGTTCCTGAAATGGAGTCCTCTCTGCCTCGTTACATCCAAGTGTTTGAACGAGTCTATCAACATCTGTGTTTGTTCTGGACAGACCTGTTTGAAGACATTAAACTGATTCAACTAAATGGCCTATTTGTCCTTAACAAATATTATAGATAAAACTTCAAATAACATGTTTATCTGTTAGGAGTACCCAGACTTGCAGTAAACTTACTGTAAAATTGGACGCAGCCGTTAGGTCGCCTGTTTTAGCCACAAGTATCACTGCACCCTCTACATGTTTCGTGTTAATGAGACCCTCTTCTAATAACTTTGGAAATGGGTTCATATTCAAATTACTTCAACAACAGTCCCCAAAATGTTTGTTAGCTATATGTCGAAAACTCAGCGGTTCGGTCACCCTTAACAACCGTCGGACTCATGAATATGAACAGAAGCTCCAAGGTTACCAATAAACATTTGCGATCCCTAATTAATATTCATGAGTGGGCGTTTGAATATGTATTTTATAAAGTAAAAAATAAACTAAATGCTCTTAAAGTTGATAAAATATGTAATCTGCTTTGAACAAAATCACCCATTATTCTTAACATTTTAAATTATTTTTATTTGTATCTGAAACCTGATTTTTTTGTGTGCATATTTGTGCTTAGAGGCCTTTCGTACAATACAATACTAGAGCTTTTTCCCTCCAAAACGAATACAATGAAGAACAAAACCTAGAAAGAGAGAGAAATGAAAAATGGAGTGGGAGAAAAACAAACATTTGCAGAATATTCAACGAACTTTATTACATGTATATTTAAAACTAAAACAAATAAACCTAAAACAAATAAACCTAAAAGACAAACTCAGTGACTCAGCCTCTTGAATGAACATTCATACTACTTCAACTTAGCAAAAATATACAATATTAAGACCTTATCTGAATGCTTTATGGCAATCCAGATATACTGGGCACTGGGCAGCGTAAAATGTGCAGATAGTCCAAGACGCATAAATTAACATAAATAAAACTCAGTCAAGCACACACAAATCAAGTTATTAGAACTTTAACCGATCATCCCTTGTTAATCACATCATTTGTACCTTCGTAAATTAAAAACTAGTAAGCTCTGCAAAATAAGCTCCTTTCTTGTTACACAGACAAATAAGCTGTTATAAGATTTTAAAGAGGATCAATTTTCTGGTGCAAATTAATTCTATAACGGTGAAGTTAAATGGAAGAATTGGCAGGTAAGATAGACAGATAATGAATTAAAACAACACCACTTGGTTAAGTGTTCCTGATGAAAAAAATTCAAGTTAAAAAAAAAAGTTCTCATTAACTTCAGATCTAGGCAAATTTCGATTATAACAAACATAGCTTTCAATACAGCAATAAAAGACAGTATATTTGAAGCACAATATAGGTCCTGAGATATCTCTGCATCCAGTGGTAAATTATTTAGGCAATAAAACAAACCTCAAATTTTCCTTTTCATTCCTGTCACTTGATAAAAAGCTAAACTTGGCAAAGTTGTGAAGGCTAACTTGTCTTCCCCATCATCACATATTCATTAGTATGTTCCACAGAATTAGAGAGCATCTTAAGGCAAAGGTCAGTCTTGATCTCGAGTTAGTGGTGAGACGCTGTGCTTGAAATGCCGTTTTGAAGGGTTATTTTCTCTCGTCATTTGGGAGCTTTGTGGTCAAACAGCTGCAGGTCAAGCCGAACCCAAACCTCTCCAGTGGGAACTTCGTGAAGCAGCAGCCTCCTGGTGGACGGACCTTTATTCTCAAGCTCTTTCTTAATAGTGGCTACAGGTACTTCAGTGCGACCTAAGAAGTCTATAGAGGGAGAAAGGGAAGTGGAACAATGACAGTTTAGGAAAAGTGTAATTATACATGTTAAAATATTAAGAGATCCGTTTAAGACTAATTAAATGATATAATTTAAGAAACAAGTCTTATACTCGCTATTTTTATACTGACCATCTGGTAAAAATTGCTCCCTCTCATATATCGTAATGCAAAGGACATCTTGATACAGATCTTTAATGTGAAACTGACAATTGAAGTTCCACTTGGGGTTGGGAGTGTCATTGATGGTTCGGGAAGTGAAGCCCTGAGAACCCATGGTCACTTCACAATATGAATTACTCTTTCCTAAAAAAACAAACAAATACAAAAATGATTAATATACTATAAGATGTTATGGAACATTAATGCATATATTTAGAATATATATATACATATATATGTTTTTTTAATGAAATCACCATTTGGTTTGGAGGATTTTAGCTCCGTTGCCTCCAAGACGGTGACAAGCAGGCGACCAATTCCACTTGCCTTCATTGATCGAGCTGTAAAAAAGTATAAAAACATGAACTTGGGCAACCTGCTGTAATTATTGTTTACATTTTTAAGACCATGACATACACTACCGTTCAAAAAAAAAAAGTTTTTGAAAGAAGTCTCTTATGCTCACCATGGCTGCCTTTATTTGATCAAAAACACAGTAAAAAAAAAACCCAGTAATATTGTGAAAAAAAAAATCATATAATTTAAAGAACATTTCTATTTGCTTATATCTTAAAATATAATTTATTCTTGTGAAGGCAAAGCTGAATTTTCAGCAGCCATTATTTTCCAACAGAAATCCTTCTAATACTCTGATTTGGTGCTCAAGAAACATTTCTTATTATTATCATCAATACTCAAAACAAATGTGCTGCAAAATATTTTTGTGGAAACCATGAAACCCTATTTACAGGATGAATAGGAAGGTCAAAAGAACAGCATAAAATAGAAATCTTTTGTAACATTGTAAATGTCTTTACTGTCACTTTTGATCAATTTAATTGCATAATTAAGTATTTATTTCCTTAAAAAAACATTACCCAAACCTTTGGACGGTTGTGTAAATAGTAAGCGAGTAGTCATATTTAATGTTCCCAAAAATTGTTTTTACACTGATAGGCCTTTTCCCGTTTTTTCTTCTCCGTCTCAAGGAATCCTTCTGATGCTGTTTTGATCTTCTGAACCCATGCAGTCCTAGCAGGATATTAGGCAGATGTTAAACATTTTGTGGCATAATGAAAACTCATGTATAGTTTCCTAGAAGCAGATCCAATAATTTGCATTAAAATTCTGTCAGTTACTCTTGCAGTGTAATTTCAGTAGCGAAATTATCCCCCCCCCCCCTTCTCGTACAGTGTGCCGATAACAACATTCCATGAAAGGTTCATAAAACATCCGATGTATGCAGTAAATAGTGGATTGCTGATAAGGCTGATAAAAAGAGTGATCGCTGAAACTGACCTCTCGTTAATGTTCTCGGTCTTCAGTGTGTACACACGATCTATGTGGGAAATGTGGAAGACGGGCTCATCACTGGACGGATCTGACGGAAGCTTCACCAGAACTTCATTGAGGAACACAGGCTGGGAACACAAATATACACATTAAACCAGTGTTTCTCAAATGGTGGGTTGCAACCCAAAAGAGGGTCACAAGTCCGCTTTGAGTGGGTCGCAGAGTGTGACAATAAAAAGAATACTACTCTATAGGGAGGAGTGGAAGCCTACCGTCTTATACATCTTGTACTGGGTGTTGGATTTGGGGCTGAAGAGCTTGTCCGTTCCTGAGGATGTGAACTGCCTGACAGCTTGAGTAAACAGCAGAAAGTCGTTGAACAGAAAGGCGTATAACTCCTTATTGCTCTTGGTCTTAAACACCTTCCCGCTGTGCAGCAATTTACGAGGACCCAGGCAGTTGGTTAGAGAGTTGAAGGTCAGATTCTAGACAAGTGACAGAAAACAGAAAAGTAAGAAATCTACTTCTACCTTCAAAGCATTATATATGAAAATCTAAGCCAAAGTCTTTCAGCCAATCAGCCCTCAGAATATTTTACACTACCATTCAAAGGTCTAGGCCAGTAAGATTATTAGGGCCCAAGCCTTGAAAAGGCGAAGGCCCTATTGTTTTCCTAAGGATTATTATTTATTATTATTATTATTATTATTATTATTTTACTACCTTTTGGGCACTTTTGGGGGCCTTAACGTGCTCGAAAACTCTTGAAACTTTGCACACATCTCAGAACCCGCGGCCATCAGGGCCGGGCTGAAGCTGGTACCCGGGCGTGGCAGGGGGGCTCGACAGCGCCCCCTGGAACGGGGTTTGAACACTTGGTCCATAAATCAAACACGCTTGCATGTAATAATATGAAACTCAGTACACATATAGATCTCATCGGTTCATATATACTTCATGCTCTTACTTTTTACCCCAGCCCAACAGGAAGTCGGCTATTAAGGGTTGTTTGGAAAACACATGCAATGGAATGTGAAATACTCCTCCTAGAGAATTCAAACACACGGCACGAAACTCGGTCAGCATGAAGTCAAGACACTGAGGATGAAAAATTGCCAGGGGATTTTTGATATCTCGAACGGTTTGGCCGTGGCGAGTAAACGAAATTATGGCGAGAAACGTGAAACAGGAAGTGTGTTATAACTACTGCATACATTAACTAATCTTGATGAAACTTCAGCAGTGTGTTCGTTGTAAGAGCCCGATCACATGGATGTGACTATTGTGAGTCAAAGTTATAGCGCCACCAACTGGCAGCAGGAAGTGTGTCACTTTCAAAATGCTTTTAAATCACCCTCTTATTTTTACCCGATTTGCTTCAAACTTCATGTGCATAATGTAGACACACGCCAGATGTAGACCTGTGAAAGGATTATTGATATCTTAGATACTGTTGCCATGGCAATGCATCAAACATTAATATTCCTTTTTTTAAGCTTTTTCATGCTTTTTTATGCTTTCGGGCACTTTTGGGGTTCTTAACGTGCTCGAAAACTCTTGAAACTTTGCACACGGGACAAAACCCGCGGCCATCAGGGCCAGGCTGAAGCTGGTACCCGGGCGTGGCAGGGGGGCTCGACAGCGCCCCCTTGAACGGGTCAGACAATTTGGTCCATATATCCAACACGCTTTACCCTATTTGCTTCAAACTTGATGTGTATAATGTAGACACAAGCCAGATGTAGACCTGTGAAAGGATTGTTGATATCTTAGATGCTGTTGCCGTGACAACGCATCAAACTTTAATATTCTTTTTGGATACTTTTGAGATTCTTAGCGCACTTTTGGGGCCCTTAACATGCTCAAAAACTCTTGAAACTTTGCACACGGGTCAGAAACCGCGGCCATCAGGGCCGGGCTGAAGCTGGTACCCGGGCGTGGCAGGGGGGCTCGACAGCGCCCCCTGGAACGGGGTCCGAAAACTTGGTCCATAAATCAAACAGGCTTTACCCGATTTGCTTCAAACTTGATGTGTATAATGTAGACACACGCCAGATGTAGACCTGTGAAAGGATTGTTGATATCTTAGATGCTGTTGCCGTGACAACGCATCAAACTTTAATATTCTTTTTGGATACTTTTGAGACTCTCAGCGCACTTTTGGGGCCC